TTCACTAGACGTAGGCATATGTGTATACTGATGAGTATAAGTCCAGCATATTGAAAACAAAACTCTGAAAGACTATGTTTTTTTTCACATTCAAAAGCATGAGCGGACTGGATTTTCTTCTGCTTGAAAATCATGTATTAAGCTTATTCTTGTGCTCATTTCGAGCGAGAATACGCTTTCATAAAGTTCATGTCTTGTAAAAACCAGACAAAAATAAAAACTAACATTGTAATAAGAAAGATATTAGTTTTCATTTGCCGATTATCTGTACAATAAAATGCAAAATACTGAACAAAGCATGACTCCAATGTTTTTATTGCCTTATTTGCCCKAATAGGTTTGACTTTTTTTACGAGTGTTTGTATTATAGTAGACATTACGCTTTTAAAAGGCTGAAWAGAACTCAATTAAATTGAAAGATTTACACATCGCATTTCTCTGGAAGTCATAAAATACATTATTAATAAATGGTGCTAGAAAAACATTCCACCATTAAAGAATAAAAAAATGCTTRATTTCACCATAAGTTACGCCATTCCTCCCATCCCCCAACTTCCAGTTAACCAGGAGCAAAGCCCTTCCTAGTAAGTGCTTGATTACACATGATGGCTAAATTGTGACTCGCAACTGGGAAAGATGCAAAGATTATCTGAGTAAACTTAAGCAACACCCACAAAGGAGCAATTTTAACTCTACGTCTGAACCTATCATGTATTTCTAATAAGAGTTTCGAAGGTGACTTATATACAGTAAAAGGTATACACCCATAGTAACCATGACCTTTGGGATTGCATGGTGATGAGGTCTTAGAAAAGTTTGACTACTTACGAGTTACTGAGCACTTTCCCATAAAAACTGATTTCTTTCATCCTGAGAAATCGGTTGATAACACTCCAGGATCAAAATATTCCTCTCTTGCACCCCATCAGTCCCCATGTGTTGTGTAAGTCAAATCTAATCTATTGAATCGGATTTGCTGTAACACAAACATCGAGGGTTATATGATAAGAAAAATGAAAAAGAGGGAAACGCGAGAGACGATGAACAGCAAATCAGAAACGAGCATGCAGGTGTCATCAAGAGTTTTAACTTACTAATTTATAATAATCATTAACATAACCTAACATAACATAACCCAACCTAACCTAACATAACATAACATAACATAACATAACATAACATAACATAACATAACATAACATAACATAACATAACATAACATAACATAACATAACAAAACATAACATAACATAACATAACATAACATAACATAACATAACATAACATAACATAACATAACATAACATAACATAACATAACATAACATAACATAACATAACAT